AAACATACCATTTTAATTATCTATTATTCACAACTTAAATACGTATAATTTAAAATACTTAACTATAACGAAAATAGGTTGAAATATATGTATATTTAAAATAGTCTAAAACTCATTTAAAAATTTCCTCGAGTATCTGCAACTTCAAATTATTTTATTTAACAAAATCAAAATAACTGTCTTTAACAATTAACAATATCAAATAATTGTTTTTTGAAAAAATACTTAACAATGCTATCTAGTATATCAATTATTAATGAAATCAAAAAACAAAAGAAAAAAAAAACGTTAAACTCATCATTTTTAATCATACTAAAAATTCACTTTCTAATATTACTTTATACATTTCCAAAAAAAAAAAGTTACTTTATAATCATTTTTCCCACCTGTAAATTATTTTGGACCGATTACTTTGTAACTAAAGTTTATGTTACGTTTTATTAAAAGTCGCGACTCTATAGAAAACGCTAACATGCACATCCTGGGAATGCTAAAATACGCATAACGAAAAAAATCGAAGAAAGATGACTCACTGTAACGTGCATTAGCCAAGCTGCCATGGGGAACGTAATCGTAGATTACAAGCTTCTCATCCGCAGCCCAATAAAACCCACGGATCCGAACCAGATTCGGATGGACCAGCTTCGCTATAACCCGAACCTGGTTCTCAAAATCCTTAAACCGGTCTAACCCGTTTCACCGATCCGACGAACCGCTAACATGGTTCCATCTTCCAAAACCGCCTTGTAGATTATACTCGAACCGGTTGTGCCAAGAATATATGCAGAAGCTTTCAACAATGTCTCAAGCTCAAGCTCCTTTTCACCACCATCAACAGTCACTAATCCCCTCTTTTCTACGTCTTTAGTTACCGGATTGTCGAGTTTAATGGTTTCCGGTGGCCTACTTTCGGTGTCGGAGTTTTCCGAGCTTGAGTTTTGGCTTGATTCGTCTCCTTCTTCTTCTTCATCTTCTCCACCGGTGTTTCTTCTCTTCATTAAACATGCCCATGAACGTAGCCATTTGTGTTCTTCTTCTGATGACCCCCAATCGTATTCCCTGTTTGAAGCTTTAGCTTCGTCTGGACGGCGATTTGATGGAGCCCCACGTCGTTTTTTCATTATGTAGATGAAAACCAGGGCTAAAACTGCGACAATGGCGATGTCTCCGACGACGATTCCGATGATCGTGCTGGTTTTGAATCGGCTTTTTGAATTTGAAGAATTGTGTGAAGGAGTTGAGGGGAACGATTGAGGGATTCCGGCGATAGCTGGAGTGAATGTTGTGGAGTTGGGTCCGGTGGTTGATGAAGAGGAGGATTCGCAGAGGTTTTTTAATGGCTTCCCGCAAAGCTCTGGGTTCCGGCGAATGATTCTTCGTCTTGGTTGACGAGAATGTCGGATTCGGGGATTGCTCCTTTGAGATTATTGAATGACAAATCAATTGTCGCAGTTATTGGAACTTGTTCGCGATTCCGGCGGAATCTCGCCGGAAAGATTGTTGTGTGAAATGTTAAAGTAAACAAGATCACCACTACCGAACTTTTCCGGTAACGAACCGGTGATGGAGTTTTTGACAGATCCAAAACTTCAACAGACTCAAACCCGGAAGGAAGTTCACCGGAAAACTGATTACCAGTCAAAGAAACCACCGTTAAGTTTGAAAGCGCTGCAAGATTCTGCGGCAGCTTTCCCGTCAACGAGTACCAGACATATTAAGATAGCGTAAGCTCCGCCACCCTCCGACGAACTCAAACTCACCGGACATCAAGTTGTTTGAAAGATCAAGAGTCTCGAGTTCAGGTGCATTGTACAAAGACAAAGGAATAGACCCACTGATTGAATTGTTCGATAAGTTCACTTCCCGAAGGTGTAGAATCGAACCCAGATTGGCGGAATGGTGGCGGTGAGGTCCCGAACTGGAAGCGATACTCCGGTGACACAAGTGTTCTCACAGACGACGCCATGCCATGAACATGGAGTGGCGTCGGTGTAGCTCCAGGTGTCTAGAACACCTAAAGGATCGTTTAAAACAGAGTATTTGAAAGAAAAGTAAACGAATGCCATCGGTTGTGAGTGCAAAAGATTGGTGAAGAATGAGAAGAAGAAGAAATGGAAGGGTTTTGAAGGATAAATGGTGGTTGATCATGGAGGTTATGATGTTTCAGAGGAGGAATCGCACATCTCCTGTTGATGGAGGAGAAAGAGAGGGAGATGAGAATGAGATATATGACACCTATAATAAGTCCGAGCAGAATACCATGTGATGATGAGTTAAGTAAATAATTGTACGATGGAAATGAGGAGGAAATTAATGTAAAAATAAAGGAACAAATATGATATGTGATAATGTGATTACACCTTTTTGGCAATTGTACAAAGATTTTTAAACCTAAAATTATATTAAATTGACCAAAAGAAATTATGGATCGTACTTATTATTTATTCGTATCAATGACAAGATAATTATAGTTGATGATATGAAAATAATTTGTTTCTTCACTTAAATTTTAAAGGAAATTTCAAATTTGTATTTGTGTTTGTCAAAGTTTTGAGGTTTAAGCCTAAAAACAAATTTTATACAAAATACCCCTATGATCATGTTTTGTTGTTAGTTTGGTTTTTATTTTATTATTTTATTTTTTTACGAACATTTAAGTGTTTTTTCTGTAGATTTTCTTTGTCTCTTGTGTCAGTAACGCAAAGACATTAGCTTACGCAAACTGTTTGTTCTTTTGAAGATTGCAGATCTAAAAATGTATACACGTCCTCTTCTTGACGCAGACAAGGATCATAGTCTTCTAACATCTTCGGACATCTATTAGTCTAAAAAAACATATACATCTTTGTTTTTTTTATTAATTTTTTTTAAAACTTAGATTTATTCCAATTTTATCTATGGTAAACAATTTGAAAAAAAAAAAGTTAAAATAGTTCAAGAAAAAAAATGTTCGATCACACAAGCATGACCTTTGTGATAAATTTATAATAAACATTTAATTACAATACTAGTTGTTGGAGTTGTTTATATAGATATAAAAAAATCTTAGTATTGTTTTATATTTTTGTACCAAGTTTTATAATCATTATTTTATGCAATCTCAATCATTTATTAGGAAAAATACTTATGGCCAGTTTTTAATTAATTTAATTAAAAAAGTAAAATGAAAATTTTGAAAATTTCATTTTAAAAATCAAAGTTTATTTACATCCTTTTTGTGTGTCAAATTCTTTGATCTCTAATTATAATATTTTAAACATAACTTTGTGACTAAAACTTAATGATTTTTTATCTTAATTCATATCATTTTATTTTAACTTTTTATATAATAATACATCAAATTTAATCTAGATTTGTTTTTATCTATAATAAAGTCATATAAGTACAGAAACCTTTTTTAATTTTTTTTAAAATGAACTCATTTATATTTTAGTTTATTTTAGCAGTTTGTAGACATTAAAAAACAAACATTCTTTTGTTTAAGATTGCATACACTTGTTCTACGTATTCTACTGCAAAGGTCTGCAGATGTGGTCGGTAGACTCCAAACATTTTGACTCAGGCAAAACAAATAAAATCTTATTTTATCTTTTAAGTTTTATTAAATAATGAATTTACCATCTGTATTTATATATTAAACCTCAATCCTACCATCGGTGACTGTATCTTGTTAACGTATTCTTAAATAAATAAATCGATTGTCAAAACCTCAATTAACCTCCTATTTTTTTTCCATAAATCCTCTTAACTAAACTACTTTCAAGCTTTTGAAACTCCCCAATGAAATTCTCATCAAACACCATGATTGTTCTCTTAAACCACACATCTTCTTTCCTTCCAATAGTCCAAACCCAATTCCCAATTATCATATTTACCTTTTTAAATCCTCAAAGACACTTGTTTTTGTTTCCATTAGAGCTACTGAGAATAGGATCGAAGCTGCCATATCTTTGGAGGAGGAAGAAAGATTTTGAATGACCAGCTTCAGAGAAGGCGTTTCTAGGAAACAAAATGCCAATAACAGATGCTATGGCCCAAATAGGTTTTAGTACTTTGGATAATTGAATTAAGGTTTTTTGGCAATTTTAATTCTATGCAACTTCAATTCTTGGATTACATGCTCCTTTAGGCTTTAACACTAATTTCGTTTCAAAGCTTTTAAAAACAACCTTCACTTACAACTTTAAATACAACAAACCATCGAGGAACAAGTAAATAAAGTAGTGTAAAAGGTAATAGTAATAAAGTGGTGTGAAATGTAAGGTAGGATCCACTTAGGCCCTGTTTGATATGCATCTGACCGAGTCAAGTCAGATATTTTTTGCTGACTATGTCAGCTAAAAGTGTTTGATTTATAAAATTTAGGTGTATGACTCGGTTAACAAGGTCTGACTGACAAAAGAATAAAGACTTTCCTATACTACCCTTAAAAATTCAGTGCACATGTAGCACCTGGTTTCTGGTATGTCAATCTTATTCGAACATTTCCTATTTTAGCCTTGGACTCGGCGAGTCATAGGTCCGACTCGCCGGTAGAGACGCGACCCAGGTCACGTTTTAAGTTGGCGACTCGGCGAGTCCATATCCTGGACTCGGCGAGTCGCCGCTGTTGGAGGAAACCCTAAGTTTCATGGGTTTGCACCCTATTTAAACGACTTAACTGCCCCAAGCCAGCCCCCATTCACCCTTAGAGCCTTGTATACCTCGTCCTAAGCCGTTCCTTGAGAGTTTGAGACTTTTGTGGGTGTTTTTGAAGGTTTTGAAGGAGGAAAGAAGTAGATCCAGAAGAAGGAAAGCCAACCAAGCAACTATTGTGTTCTTCCAGCAGTTCCTTTGAGGTATAACCCGTTTTCCCCATGATTCTATGCTTAAAACTTCATTTGGGTCTTTTAGTTCAAATCCCCAAGCTTGTATGTGCATTATATGTCGTAATAAGATGTTTGGCCTCTGGATCTAGGCAAGATTGAGCTCCAGGAGCTCAGATCTGTTAGCTTTATGGCCCTATGTTGCTTGTTAGCCCTAGATCTACCCTTTTAAGGCATTTTGAGCCCTAAAATCCATATTGGTGAATATCCACACGTAAAGTTGGAAACTTTACGTGTGATTTGTGTCCTAGAAGTCCAGATCTATGAATGGCATGGACTGAAATCGAGCAAATCTGTGTATTTGGTGGATGCATGGCGGCGACTCGGCGAGTCATATAGGTGACTCGGCGAGTCTGGTCGCGAGTCACCGAATTGGTCCCTTTATGATGTATCGAGTTGAGCCGTGAGTCACAGGGGGTGACTCGGTGAGTTGGGAGCTGAACTCACCCATGTTGGGACTCGGCGAGTCAATGCCCTGACTCGGCGAGTCCAAGGCAATCTTCATAGATCAAGAACAGACTCAGCGAGTTGTTCATACAACTCGGCGAGTCTTAGCATTAGTGTTCTTCGGATGAAGATGAACTCGACGAGTTGTTCATACAACTCGGCGAGTAGGATGAAGGAGTTGAATGTCAGTTTAGAAGATGAACTCATCGAGTCATAGCCTAACTCGATGAGTAGAATCAGGGACCCAGGACAATTGTCTGGACAGGGACTCGGCGAGTGGAGATCCACTCGGCGAGTCGGGTCAACTAAAAGTTGACTCTGATTTGACTTAGGGCTAGACCAGGGGTAAAATGGTCTTTTTACCCAAAGGACAGTTAGCAGTGTATGATTAAGTATATTGTGGGAATTACAGCCGGGGAGTTTCCGGAGCAGCAACAGCAGTAGTAGGTGATCAATTCCCACACAGACCAGCTGCTATTTCGAGGTGAGTTTCCTTCCAGTAGTAACGGGTCTAAGGCACCAAGGCCGGCCCGTATAGACGAGACCCTTAGTATTAGAGTGTGGGCCGAGCCCGTATCTCTTAGTTGAGTTGATTATGATATATGCCAGTATGATAGAATTATTTACACTTGTTGTTTGTGCGATACTTGTATGATATGAGTTAGCGATTGAGTGTGGGCAAGGCCCGTATCTCTCCGAGAGTGGAGTGTGGGCTAGGCCCGTATCTCCCAGATAGCGAAGTGTGGGCAGGGCCCGTATCTTCACGAGTGTGGGCGAGGCCCGTATCTCCCAGAAAGCGAAGTGTGGGCGGGGCCCGTATCTTCACGAGTGTGGGCGTGGCCCGTATCTCCTAATTGAATGTTGTTTGTTACATGCTTGCATGGTATGGGGTAGTATGGGGGAACTCACTAAGCTTTGTGCTTACGGTTTTAGTTTTGGTTTCAGGTACCTCCTCAGCTAGGGGAAAGGAGCCGGCGCGGTAGCAGCATGTCACACACACACTCTCCGGTTTCCGCATTTACGAGCTTTTCTGGGACTGATACTCTGATATTCTGATTAGTTGTATGCTTTGGTTTTCAGACATGGTTCAGTTTATATTATGGATGATCGAATGATGTTTTAGTTATTAATATTTTCTAAAGTAACGTTTTTAAACAAAAAAAATTATGTGAAAATTGGGTCGTTACAAGTTGGTATCACAGCCCTGGTTTGAGGGATTCGGACACGTCTTCGGGAGTGTCTGAACTCAAATCGAGGGATTGAAAGATTTTCTAAAAGAAAATGTTCTCTAAAATTTAGAAAAGAGTCTTAAGAAAGAGCGAAGTGTGTGACGTGCGCGACCGGCCGAGCTCAAGTAAGTATTCCCCATAGTACCCATACAAGTTTATGTTATGTTTATCAGCTGTTTATCAGCTTTCGTGCATGCTAGAATAGGACTAAGGATCTAGGAGTGATGCCTTATGTGCCTACATTCGTGTTTCAGTTGTATGAGAAATTGCATGCTAGTTACGGAGTAGACAGTAAGTAGGATAGCCTGAATAGGTTATGCCTGGTAGTATGAGCTTAGCACTATATGCTAGCTCAGTTCCTGAAAGTGGATAGAGTTAATTGAGATTGTTACCCTTGTCTGAATGCTGCTTGCTTCGTGCTTCGTGGGACTCTGAATAATGGGAGTTAGCCATTAGTCGAATGCGTCACGTCACATGTAATCAGGATTGGATAATCTTAGAGTGCCGAATTTGATCCTACTGCGC